GCAAATACATTTATGATATGCTAATGTGTATCCTGCAGTACATATTCATGAAATAACAAGATCTGGTCACTACCGCACTTTCAAAGCAGTGAGAAAGACTTGGAAATGTTGTCTATAACTATATAACAGTATGAATTTTTTTTTTTTTTTTTGAAACGGAGTCTCACTCTGTTGCCCAGGCTGGAGTGCAGTGGCCAAAACTTGGCTCACTGCAACCAACCTCCACCTCCCGGGTTCCATTATCCTGCTTCAGCCTCCTGAGTAGCTAGGATTACAGGTGCACACCACCACACCCAGATAATTTTTGAATTTTTAGTAGAGACAGGGTTTCACTGTGTTGGCCAGGCTGGTATCAAACTTCTGACCTCATGATCTGCCTACCTCAGCCTCCCAAAATGCTGGGATTACAGACATGAGCCACCGTGCCTGGCCTGGAAAATATCTAATGGAGACAAAATTGCAAGTTTCATTAATATTCCTGTGGTTTGCTGCGTATGTTCATAACTGGAGGGAATTTTACATTTTAGGTAGAGACTAGGGAAAATAAAGATGTAAAATTCAAATTCGTAGATCCCCTGAATTCTACCCATAGATCTAAGTTTAAGAACACCTGGTCTAAAAATTTCCAAAAGAGATTGGGAAGAGAACCCACAGCGGACAATGTGAAGAAGGGGATGTTATGGAGTCGTCTGTAATTGTACAGTTATACTATATTCCTCCCTTCATATGTTGGTTTATCTGGGCTTCTTGTGTCTCCTCTAGTCTTTCTTCATATACCTCTTATATCAAAGTAGAATTAAAACTAGCCAGCTCTTCATTTGTTGGCAGCTGCTGTGTTTTGGCATTGTTTTCCTGGAGGGATGTTTTTGTTTTTTTGTTGGATTGTTTTTTAAGTATATCCAATGGTTGTAGCAGAAACTATGGATTATCTGGGATTGTTTATCCCTGCTATGTCTAGCTTCTATTAACATAGATAATTGGGCTTTAAATGTGAATAGAATGAAGGTATCCAGCTTCAACCTCTGTCTATTGCCTTCAAAGGCCTTGAGGTAGATAAAATAATCCCCTTTCCAACTTGGAACTCTGTCTCCCCTTGGCTTCCTGAATGCTGCTTTCTCTTAGACCTCTCTCAGCTTCTCTAATGGTCTCTTCGGAATCCTCTCATCTGTTGCACACTCAACTGCCAGAAAAATGTAGGCGTTTCCCCCACATTAGGCTTTAGACTGATTTTCTTGTAGTGTTTTCTTCTTTGATACTCTCTCCCAATCCCCAATTTGCGTTCTTTCCCATGCTCCTTGTCAGTTTTAATGGATCCCAGCTCCCCTCGCCCCAGTTGAGATTTTAACAACACACAACAGGTTATACTATAGTATGTACTTATGGTAGGCACTGGGCATACAATTCTGGACCAATTGTTGTATTTGACCGAGTGTAGAAAGTTATCACAAGACAAAAGTATGCCAGATTTCAGGGTCATTTATTATGCCGGCGACCACAGAGGACTCATGTCTCTCCAACCTGTGGTGGCAACAGGAGGGTGCCACGATTTTTTATACCCGAAAAACCACCTTGGGAGTGGGGGTGAGGGGCAGGGATGGGGATGAAAAGGCTTCAGACATTCCGAGGGCTAGTGGATTCTGTAAATTACCTCCTGGGCAGAGATGAGGGTGGGGGTCCCCGGACATTCCAAGGGATGGGGACTTTTGTCATTCCATTTGTTACTTAAGTGGTTTACAGAAGTCAAGATAAACATTTGTTTGCACATTATCTGGTTAAGGTGGAAATCACAGACCTTAGTTACTTATTACAAGTCGCAGAAGCCAAGATGGCATGGGTTAGGACTGCTTGCCTGTCACATTAGGGCCACAGAGAGCAGTTACTGATAAGAAAAGGTAAGCAGCTTTACGTAGTTTTGAAGAACAAACAGCAGTTCTATTTACAGAGGCCAAAGACAGTAGTTATTGTGAGGAGAATGGGGCAGCCATTTCAACTTATCTAAAAACAGTTTTGCATTTTATAAAATAGTTTTGCTCTGGTTCTGGCTCTAGGCCAGCACAATATCACACAATGAAACAGGTTCCTGCCCTCACACACCCTATCATCTATCAAGGAAGGCCTTGATCAAGTAATTTCAAGAGTGACATGTAGGATGAAAGGGAGGAGCAGGTCACTACAGAAGTTGGTAATAAGGAGAGCTAACCTAGTTTGGGGGGTATATGGAAGCCAATCAGAAGAAGTGAAGTTTCGACTGGAACATTAAAGGTTAACTGGGAGATGGCTCAATAACCAGTGTAGGAATTGGGATTAGGACGATGCACGTGGAATGCGAAAGTCTAAAAGCAATAGCAGGGAAGGAAGATGTCAAACATGGCTGTGGTATGAAATCCACAAAGGGTATTTGAATCCAGTGAAGCTGCAGAGAGGCAGGCCACGTTCGTAAATCCTTGTCAACAGGGGCGCCTCAAGGGCATCATCCTGAAGACAGTCGGGAAGTCATTAGGCAGCAGGCAGAGTGGCCGGATTCACATTTTTAAAAGATTAATCCAATTTCAGTAGCGAAAATGGTTTGGAGAAAGGCAGGAACCCATCTGAGGAGACCACTGGAGGTGGTTATAGAGCCCAGTTAAGAGACAATTTGTTGGCTTTGCAAGAAAATCTAAGTCCTCATTGTTTCTGCTTTGCCTGCCCCTCATACCTTTAAGATTTGGTCTCTAAAATAACTGGGCTTTAAATGTGATAGAATGAAGACATCCAGCTTCAACCTCTGTCTGTTGCCTTCAAAGGTCGTGAGGCAGATAAATGGAAAAGCTGCTTGCTGCTTTTCTTTCTCATTCAGCAAATTCAAGCTTCTTTTCCGCCCCCACCCCCCAACCCCGGGCTGTTGCAACAGCTTTACTCTCTACTGCCTTATCTTCCATTTCCCCTTCCTCCATGCACGGCGTGCTGTCAGAGTTAGCCCCCTAAAACACACGTGGTTGCTCCCACATGCATCAAAATTAAGTCCAAGCTCTTCTCCCTTGTTCACAGTCTCTGCGGTGTGGTCCCTACCCAGGCTGCTGGCTTTCTCCACCATCGGGAGCTCCCACCACAACTTTCCTGCTTCATGCTCCCCTTGCCTCACTAACTCACAAGTATTCAGACAGGCTATGTTTTACAGACTCCCCCCTCCCTCTTAGAATATCTTTCTCTTCCAACTCACTCATAAGAAATTTGCATCTTTGAAGACTAATTTCAAGCCCAGTTTCCTCCAGATTTCAAGCCCAGCTTCCTCCTGGATGTCCCCAATCGGAATTAATTTTTCCTTCCTGCCCTTGTTCCAATGGTTCTTTAAGTGATGTGTTTTTCCTTGGATTAAGTTTCTTACCCTTGTTTCACCATTTACTAGAGTTTACCTCCTATTTGAGTCAGTATGTATGAGATAGGCTTTTCAAATAAATTATAAGTTTTTGAGGGCTAGGGAGATTTGTGTTAGTTATTTCTATGTTGCACATAGTGATTTGCCTACCCTGTGCTTATAAAGGCTCAACAAATGTTAGATTGGTTTTTGGGTGGTGGTAGGCTGATTGAACCCCAAAATTGCAAATTTATCTGAGCTACATATCCAGAGCCCATTCTGGTTATAATATTCTAGGTATGCACAAGAACATTTTGCTAACAGTATTGTTTTTGTTTCAAAAGGTGGCTAATCACAAGTCTCAATAAGGGTAACAATATAAGTATTGAGAACTGCTGCATTCTATGTTGAAAGCAGAAATTTATTCTATAAGTATTTCATGAGCCTTAATTATGTCTCTGGCTCTTGTGCATATGACTATGAACAAAACAAATTTGTTTTCTGGATATTTTTATAAGGGCTTGAGGCTTTCTCCATCAAGATTACAGGCCAGGTACAGTGGCTAACACCTGTGATGTCAACACTTTGGGAGGCCAAAGAGGGCAAATCACGAGAGGTCAGAAGCTGTAGACCAGACTGTCCAACATGGTGAAATCCTGTCTCTTTGAAAAATTTAAAAAACAGTTAGCTAGGCCTGGTGGTGGGTGCCTGTAATCCTAGCTTCTTGGGAGGTTGAGTTAGGAGAACTGCTTGAACTCAGGAGGTGGAGTTTGCAGTGAGCCAAGATTGCACCATTGTACTCCAGCCTGGGTGACACAGCAAGACCTTATCTCAAAGAAAAAGAATTGTAGAAGAATATACATGAATAAATCAAGCTTAATAAAGCTGGAAAAAAATAGTTCATTCCTTTGGTCAGATGTTATCTGTCACCTAACGCAGAAGTGAAAAAAAAATGCAGCCAAGGAAAGGTATGACAACACAATGGATATATGGCCAATATAACAAAAAGAGAAAAACAAACAGAAGATTGCTGATTGCAGCTTACTTAGGGCTTGATTATACTGTAATTTTACCCTTTTCTTGTCTCTGATTTTAATAAAGCCCTGCAACAAACAGGTGCTATAATTTTCTTCTCAGTGTCACTTTACACTGTAGACTGGGAAGCATCAGTGGATACTCAGCAATAATAACTGCATTTATTGGGTTCTAATATATGCCCTGCATTGTATTAGAAACTGGAGATATATAAAACTCAATTTATAGTCTCAAATAGCTCGCAGAGTAGTATCTTATATAGGAACTGAATTGCTTCCAGGAAAAAAAATAAAGGAATATATTACTAGATGAGGATGCTTCTGTAGGAAGCTCACAATTTTTTTTCCAGGCAAGATTGAAACTGGACGTTAGAGGCATACTCCGTGATTTTCTGAAACATAAATGCAGTGCTCACTATGAAAAAATAGGCCATAAACTCTCCGAACACAATCGATTAGTGGAGGTTAAATGTAAGAGCACTTTTATGGGAAAAAATGCAAATTATGAGAAGAGAATACATTCAGAATGAGTAAAGAGTATTTTTTAGATGTCTACTGTATGCATGTATAAAGATCTGTGGCTTCAAATTTGACCAGATTTTGTTTGTTTGTTTTTCAAAATCTTTTCTAAGAATTGCCCTGGTGGAAAATATTCCTGAAGGCCTTAACTATTCAGAAAATGCACCATTTCACTTATCACTTTTCCAAGGCTGGATGAATTTACTCAACATGGCCAAAAAGTCTGTTGACATAGTGTCTTCCCATTGGGATCTCAACCACACTCATCCATCAGCATGTCAGGTAAGCTACATCTTCTGTGTGTGTGATAATTTTACTTATGTGCATTTTACACTCTTTGGCGTTCTGGTCCTCCACTCCTCAAACTCAAGCTCATTTCTTTCAGTCTACCCACACCCTGAGTACACGTACATCATTGCATTTATGTGGATGTGCTGTTGTTAATCATATGTCGTTCAGCGCCTACTCGAATGCCAGGTTTGCAGGGACAAAATCGTGTTTCATCTTTGCCTACAATCGCTCTTTATACAGAATGGCTGTGTTGTACAACTTCAGGGGGTGCTGTTTACATATAATCTCTGTCAACGGCATGGTCCAGAATTCTGCTTCACATAACCTGCGTGTTTACAGTTCTAATTCTGTAACTGCTTGCTGATGCATTATTTGGTTAGTTTGTATTATGATTTACCTTTCGAGTTATAATTGACCCACAGCCAAATGTTTTAATAATAGAGTGAAATTTCCCAGGATAGTTATTTTTTCTCAACTGTCATATCTGGGTGAATAGAAAAAAGAAATACGCTTATTTCTTTAAAAAAAAAAAATAAGGCTTAGGAGAACTACCTCTAGAAAATTGACTTAATGATCTAAATAATTTCTGAATAAAAGCTCTGGGTATAAGAAAATGGTGCTGATGTTTTTAGTACGTTTTTCTTTATATTGGTACAACAGTGGTAGTTTACATTAAGCTACCCTATCTAAATGTATAGCCATTGGCCTACACTTAACATGTCATATATAAGTCAAGGGTAAAATAAGTTTTGTCTCCTTTTATACAGAATGTACTGGCATTAAGCTTATAATCATGATCTCACTGGTACTTTGAAAGCTATTGAATTTATTCTGTTATACTATGTTAAAGTCAAAAGCTGCTGGAAAATAAAAGCAAACAAAAAACACAAAGGCCATAACTAGTGAAGAATGGAATCAATTTGTTAACTATATTCTACACTTTTCCATCTCTGCTGAAGTTTAAATATGTGTTTCAGGATTTATCACTACATAGTATCTCCTAAAATATAGTGGTTTAAAAAACAGTATTTATTTATTCATGATTCTGGGCAGGGCTTGGCAGAGAAGACTCATCTCTGATCCATATGGTGTTGGCTGGGTGGCTTAGCTGGGGCTGGAGAATCCTGGATGGCTTTCCTCACGTGTCTGGTATCTCAGCTGGAGTGACTGGAACATCTGGGATGGCTGCAGTCTGTCTGCAGGTTCTCTCATCATTCAGTAAACAATCCTGAATATGGAATCCTGAATATGGTGGCTGGGAACAATCCAACCACCTCTTTACATGGTGGTTGGGTCCTCAGAAGGCAGAGGGCTCTGGAATCCTAGAATTGAATAGATTTGGTTGCTCCCAATCTATTCCATTGGTACAAGCACATCTCAAGTCCAGGATGGGAGGAGCAACATCCAAGTGCAGGAATGAGGATGACTGTGACCATCTTTGAAAATAACATACCACAGCCCACTCTCTGGCTGTAGCAATTCCTATCTCTTCTACATGTAAAACACATTCACCTCATTCCTCAAAATGTGAATTCTACTACATCAGGGGCTCTGGAGGGAAGCCAGAGATCGCCTCTAATACCCCGTCCACTCTGGCTGGATCTACAAATCAAATTGATACCAGGCAGATTGACAGGAGTAAATTTTATTAGTTTTACTCATACATGTGGATCTTCATGAGAGTGAAGTCCAAAGATGTGGCCAAAGTAAGATGTTTTTGTACTTTTTAGACAAAGAACAATAAATTTGGGAAGAAGTGACACAACAAAGGGGATCTGTGTGGGGGCAGCAAATTTCTAGGGGAGCCACTAGGAGATACAGAGGAGGAATAAAACTAGTGGGGGATAGGGTTACTTCATTAAGTATATCCATTTGGGTCCATGGCAGCCCCCAGTTTTCAGTCTCTGGTGATAGGGGCTATTTTCTCACCCTTGTACAGGGAGGATGTGCTTCTCAGAAGAATCTTTATGGTTTGCTGCATGCAGGAAGAGACAGGTCAGCTATCCTTTACTGAACTACCATTGTCCTAGTGTTTTCCACTTGAAATCATCATCAGTATACCAGTCTGACATATTGTGAGATGCCACATCCTTCAATCCTCACCTCAAAATCCAGAATCTCTTTATTTGTATCAGGTCTGGATCTGAGTGAGGCCCCTCACATGGACTTCTCTTGATTTAGAAACATGTGAACTAAAAAGAATAGTTATATGCCCCCAGACACAGACGCTGAATGTAAAATGCTAAGACAGGGGTAAGGTAACTAGAGATACTTTGGTTCAAAGGGGGCAATTGGAGAGTAGAAGATTGCCTCCTGGAGTGTGTGAGCCCGAGCAGGTATGGCTCTAGACTGGCTAGCTTGCATATGAACGCCTGGCTGAGGCATTCTTACCTCTAAGCATTGGCTAACCCTCAGAGGGGCAGTCTCTTCTCAGTCAGAAAGGTGTGTGTGTGTGTGTGCGCGCGCATGCGCACGCTAGCACATGTGTGTGTGCATGCACGTGTGTGCACGCGTGTGTGCATTTTTAATTGATGCATAATAGATATACATCATTTTGGGGTACCTGTAATAATTCATTATTATAGTTTGTAGAGATCCAGTCAGTGTACTTTGGGAATTGATCACCTTAAGCATTTGTCTTTTCTTTAGGCCAGAACCATTCAAATTCTTCCCTGAAGACAGAGTCTCGCTTTGTCACCCAGGTTGGAGCGTAGTGGTGCGATCTCAGCTCACTGCAACCTCTGCCTCCTGGGTTCAAGTGATTCTCCTGCCTCAGCCTCCCAAGTAGCTGGGATTATGGGTTCATGCCACCATGCTCAACTAAGTTTTCTTATTTTTAGTAGAGATGAGGTTTCACCTTGTTGGCCAGGCTGGTCTCGAATTCCTGACCTCAAGTGATCTACCCGCCTTGGCCTCCCAAAGTGCTGGGATTACAGGCGTGAGCCACTGTGCCCAGCCCCCTTCTACTTATTTTGAAATGGACAGTAAATTATTGTAAACTATATTCACCCTACTATCTATCTAGTGCTAGGTCTTATTTCTCCTACCAAACTGTATGTTTGTGTCTGTTAATCAAGTTCTCTTCATCGACCTCCCACACTTCCCAGCCCAGAAAGGTTTTTTAAAATGTCAGAATGTCATAATATACAGAAAATTATATGCAGTACAGAGCCCTTTTGTTTGGCTAAGAAGGCCCATAGACACCCGCCACCTGAAGTCATTTCTTACTTCAAGAATGTTGTGGTGAGTCGAGACACCAACCTTGATTCTCTACATTTTGTCTAAATTCTGCAGGAAAACTAAACAACTCCTTCTTTAGTTTATCTCGCTCTTTGTACCCCTTATTATATACTGCAAAAACTTATAATCTGCCTGAAGAATTTCAGCTGGCTTCACAAGTCCAGTAGTTGTATTTTCTATGTTCTACTTTATAGCAGGTGGACTATTGCCAGCACTGTGCCATCACATCATACAGACAGGCCTTTCTCAAGACTTCAAAAGCAACTTCCTTGCTGTTCTTCCAGCCTTGAATAATAGGAGCAGAGGCCAACCTCTACCATGACCCAATCCCACATGGCTTCATTTGTTTACTTATTTATTTTTTTGAGATGGAGTTTCACTCTGTCACCGAGGCTGGACTACAGTGGTGTGATCTTGGCTCACTGCAACCTCCATCTCCTGGGTTCACGTGATTCTCCTGCCTCAGCCTCCTGAGTAGCTGGGATTGCAGGAACTTCCCACCACACCTGGCTAATTTTTGTATTTTTAGTAGAGATGGGGTTTCACCGTGTTGACCAGACTGGTCTTGAACTCCTGACCTCAAGTGATTCACCTGCCGTGGTCTCCCATATGACTTTAGGTTTTTATATAGTAGTTTCTGTTTCGGTTACCTATGCCATGTAACAAACAACTACAAACCGTATTCTTCATTGTGTCCTACAATTCCGCAGGTTGGCTGCACTATCCTTTTGCACCAAGAGCGTTCGCTGGAATCGCTCACACAGCTGCACCTAGGGGCTGGACTGTCTGAAGGCTGGCCAGGTCTCATGCTCCCCAAGTGGACTCTCTTAATTCAGTAATTTAACCCAAGATATATATAGGGCAGCTGGGTTCCAACAGGATGAAAATATAAACTATAAGACCTCTTAATGCCTGGATTCCTGGAACATTTGCCACATTCTGTTAGTCAAAGCAAGGCACAAGGCCAGTCCTCAGGGGAGGGGCAGTAGACCCCGGGAATAGCATGCATGGGAGGAACTGTTGAAAGCTGACATTGGAAACAATCTACTGGAGGTGATTTGGTAGTGTGAGTAAGAGATAGTTCAAGTCGTCTTTCCTTAATCCTAGGAAGGCCGGTACATAGCCACTAAATGCAACAGGAACTGCAAGCTTAGTTTGATTTGGGGAACCATGCAGTGGGCCCTGACCAGCACAGGCAACCGTGCTGTGTGAGCATGGGCTGTTAACAGCTCCTTTCCACCTCATGTGCTCCACAGAAGAGCCAGGTGTGTTAAAACACAGTAGGAAGATTTGCATTTACGCTTGGACTTGACGTCCTGATTATCTCTTTTCTGCTATGCTGTGCCTTGGGAATGCTGACTTTTTCTCTTCAACTACAACGTTGTCTTTCCTGATTGGCTTTCTTTATCCCCTGTGCTTTACCATTTCTCTCTGACCCTACCCTAAATCCTGGTTGGCTTTCAGTATCTATAATCAATCTAGATTGGAGCTGATTGGGCTGGGACATCCTAGGTAATGTGCAGCATTCCCCAGGGGTGCTCAATAAGTCTGTCTGCAGGACTCAGGGGATTTGGGGGGCTGAGGCAGTAATGTGGGGCACCCTGTGGTTTGGTCAGCACTGAGGATTGGTGTGAGGTGGTTCATACGACTGGAGCAGAGGCTATGCAGGCAAAATTCACATCCCTAGGAGGGTGACTTCGCCTCCCGTCTTTAAAAGGGGCATGATCTTCCAGTGCAGTCTGAGGGTTTCT